GGCTCCACAAGTCCTGAAGCTCCACAAGTCCTGAGGCTCCACATGTCCTGAGGATCCACAAGTCCTGAGGCTCCACATGTCCTGAGGATCCACAAGTCCTGAGGCTCCACAAGTCCTGAGGATCCACAAATACTGAGGATCCACAAGTCCTGAGGCTCCACAAATACTGAGGCTCCACAAGTCGTGAGGCTCCACAAGTCATGAGGCTCCACAAATACTGAGGCTCCATAAGTCCTGAAGCTCCACAAGTCCTGAGGCTCCACAAATACTGAGGCTCCACAAGTCGTGAGGCTCCACAAGTCATGAGGCTCCACAAGTCCTGAGGCTCCACAAATACTGAGGCTCCACATGTCCTGAGGCTCCACAAGTCCTGAGGCTCCACAAGTCCTGAGGCTCCACAAGTCCTGAAGCTCCACAAGTCCTGAAGCTCCACAAGTCCTGAGGCTCCACATGTCCTGAGGATCCACAAGTCCTGAGGCTCCACAAGTCCTGAGGCTCCACAAATACTGAGGATCCACAAAAACTGAGGATCCACAAGTCCTGAGGCTCCACAAGTCCTGAGGCTCCACAAATACTGAGGCTCCACAAATACTGAGGATCCACAAATACTGAGGCTCCACAAGTCCTGAAGCTCCACAAGTCCTGAGGCTCCACATGTCCTGAGGCTCCACAAGTCCTGAAGCTCCACAAGTCCTGAGGCTCCACAAGTCCTGAGGCTCCACAAGTCCTGAGGCTCCATAAGTCCTGAGGCTCCACAAGTCCTGAGGATCCACATGTCCTGAGGATCCACAAGTCCTGAGGCTCCACACATCCTGAGGGTCCACAAGTCCTGAGGCTCCACAAGTCCTGAGGCTCCATAAGTCCTGAGGCTCCACAAATACTGAGGATCCACAAATACTGAGGATCCACAAATACTGAGGCTCCACAAGTCCTGAAGCTCCACAAGTCCTGAGGCTCCACATGTCCTGAGGATCCACAAGTCCTGAGGATCCACAAATACTGAGGCTCCACAAATACTGAGGCTCCACAAGTCCTGAGGCTCCACAAGTCCTGAGGCTCCACAAGTCCTGAGGCTCCACAAATACTGAGGATCCACAAGTCCTCAGGCTCCACAAGTCCTGAGGATCCACAAGTCCTGAGGATCCACAAGTCCTGAGGCTCCACAAGTCCTGAGGATCCACAGGTCCTGAGGCTCCACAATTACTGAGGCTCCACAAATACTGAGGCTCCACAAGTCCTAAAGCTCACCAAGTCCTGAGGATCCACAAATACTGAGGATCCACAAGTCCTGAGGATCCACAAATACTGAGGTTCCACAAATACTGAGGTTCCACAAGTCCTGAGGATCCACAAATACTGAGGCTCCACAAGTCCTGAGGATCCACAAATACTGAGGCTCCACAAATACTGAGGATCCACAACTACTGAGGCTCCACAAATACTGAGGCTCCACAAATACTGAGGCTCCACAAATACTGAGGCTCCACAAGTCCTGAGGCTCCACAAGTCCTGAGGCTCAGTCAAGTCCTGAGGCTCCACAAATACTGAGGCTCCACAAATACTGAGGATCCACAAATACTGAGGCTGCCCAAATGTCCTTCTGAGTCCATTGTATTCATGTTTTAATACCTTGTTGCTGTGCTGTAGTACCTTGTTCCCATACTGCAGTACCTTGTTCCCCTGCAGTAGTACTTTGTACCTGTGCTTTTGTACTTTGTTCCCATGATGTAGTACCTTGTTCCAATGCTGTAGTACTTTGTTCCAATGCTGTAGTACTTTGTATCTGTGCTGTAGTACTTTGTACCTGTGCTGTAGTACTTTGTTCTCATGTTTAAGTACCTTGTGCTCGTGCATCAGCCTCCTGATGGCTTCCTCATCAGTCAAGTCACACCGTAGGAAGCGGGGCCGGGCTCTCCGGTATCCAGTCCCAATCACCATCCAGCCACTGCTGTGAAACTCTTTAAAGACGGCTCGACCCAGAAGACCTGTGGCCCCAGTCACCAGGACCCTCGGGCCCTGGACCAGGACCTCCTCCTGGAGAACAAACAGACACAGCAGCATGTAAAGGTGCTGGGGCTGGAATAAAAAAACTGTTTAGTTTGAAGCCAGTAAATTATGACCTTCTTTAATGAGCCAGCTTTTCATGGCACCCTGTTTCTTAGAGTGATTAGAAAGACAACTAGATCTGCAGAACTCACTGGTGTAACGCACTGGTGTAATGTTCTGGTGTAACACACTGCTGTAACATACTGGTGTAACACACTGCTGTAACATAATGGTGTAACACACTAGTGTAATGTTCTGGTGTAATGTACTGGGGTAATGTACTGGTGTAACGTACTGCTGTAACGCACTGGTGTAACGCACTGGAGTAATGCACTGGTGTAACAAACTGGTGTTACGCACTGGTGTAACATACTGGTGTAATGCACTGGTGTAACATAATGGTGTAACACACTGATGTAACATACTGATGTAACACATTGGTGTAACACATTGGTGTAACACACTGGTGTAACATACTGATGTGTAACATACTGAAACACACTGGTGTTACATACTGGTGTTACATACTGGTGTAACCCACTGGTGTAACCCACTGGTGTAACCCACTGGTGTAACCCACTGGTGTTACACACTGGTGTTACACACTGGTGTAACACACTGGTGTTACATACTACTGTAACCCACTGGTGTAACCCACTGGTGTAACCCACTGGTGTTACATACTGATGTAACACACTGATGTAACATACTGATGTAACACACTGGTATAACCCACTGGTATAACCCACTGGTGTAACCCACTGGTGTAACCCACTGGTGTTACACACTGGTGTTACACACTGGTGTTACACACTGGTGTAACACACTGGTGTAACACACTGGTGTTACATACTACTGTAACCCACTGGTGTAACCCACTGGTGTAACACACTGGTGTTACATACTGATGTAACACACTGGTGTAACACACTGGTGTAACATACTGGTGTAACACACTGGTGTGACACACTGGTGTGACAAACTGATGTAAAAAAACTGATGTAACACACTGGTGTTACATACTGATGTAACACACTGGTGTAACACACTGGTGTAACATACTGGTGTAACACACTGGTGTAACACACTGGTGTAACACACTGGTATACACACTGGTGTAACACACTGGTGTTACATACTACTGTAACCCACTGGTGTAACCCACTGGTGTAACACACTGGTGTAACACACTGATGTAACATACTGATGTAACACACTGGTGTAACACACTGGTGTAACACACTGATGTAACATACTGATGTAACACATTGGTGTAACACACTGGTGTAACACACTGGTGTAACACACTGGTGTAACATACTGGTGCAACAAACTCATGTAACACACTGGTGTAACACACTGGTGTAACATACTGATGTAACACACTGATGTAACAAACTGATGTAACAAACTGGTGTAACACACTGGTGTTACATACTGATGTAACACACTGATGTAACACACTGGTGTAACACACTGGTGTAACACACTGGTGTAACTCACTGGTGTAACATACTGGTGTAACACACAGGTGTAACCCACTGGTCTAACACACTGGTGTAACACACTGGTGTTCCATACTGGTGTAACACACTGGTGTTCCATACTGGTGTAACACACTGGTGTTACATACTGGTGTAACACACTGGTTTAACATACTGGTGTTACATACTGGTGTTACACACTGGTGTAACACACTGGTGTAACACACTGGTGTAACACACTGGTGTTACACACTGGTTTAACATACTGGTGTTACATACTGGTGTAACACACTGGTGTAACACACTGGTGTTACATACTGGTGTAACACACTGGTGATACATACTGGTGTAACACACTGGTGTAACATACTGGGGTTACATACTGGTGTAACCCACTGGTGTAACACACTGGTGTAACATACTGGTGTAACACACTGGTGTTACATACTGGTGTTACATACTGGTGTAACACACTGATGTAACACACTGGTGAAACACACTGGTGTAACACACTGGTGTAACACACTGGTGTTTCATACTGGTGTAACACACTGGTGTAACACACTGGTGTTTCATACTGGTGTTACATACTGGTGTTACATACTGATGTAACACACTGATGTAACACACTGGTGTAACACTGGTGTAACACACTGGTGTTTCATACTGGTGTAACACACTGGTGTAACTAACACACTGGTGTAACACACTGGTGTTACACACTGGTGTAACACACTGGTGTAACACACTGGGGTAACACACTGGGGTAACACACTGGGGTAACACACTGGGGTAACACACTGGGGTTACACACTGGTGTAACACACTGGTGTAACACACTGGGGTAACACACTGGGGTAACACACTGGGGTTACATACTGGTGTAACACACTGGGGTAACACACTGGGGTAACACACTGGGGTAACACACTGGTGTAACTAACACACTGGTGTAACACACTGGTGTTACACACTGGTGTAACACACTGGTGTAACCCACTGGTGTAACACACTGGTGTAACACACTGGGGTAACACACTGGGGTAACACACT